CAAGACAATTGGACCTACTGTTCCATCAATGTATCTAGACAATAGGTTGGAGGATGATAAGGACTATAGTCTCAATTTATTCAAACCGAATGTGGATGCTTGCATCAAGTGGCTAGACTCAAAGGAAGCTGCATCAGTTGTTTATGTATCATTTGGAAGCTTGGCCACGTTAGGAGAAGAACAAATGGAGGAAATAGCATGGGGCCTAAAGAGGAGCAACAACTATTTCTTGTGGGTTGTTAGAGAAACAGAACAAAAGAAGCTCCCTAGCAACTTTGTTGAGGAGACATTAGAGAAAGGGCTAATAGTGTCTTGGAGTTGGAGCTCTCAATTGAGAGTTCTAGCTCATGAGGCAGTAGGTTGTTTTATAACTCATTGTGGTTGGAACTCAACGATTGAGGCATTGAGCTTGGGGGTGCCAATGGTAGCAATGCCAATATGGACAGACCAACCAACTAATGCGAAGTTTGTTGAAGATGTATGGAAGGTAGGAATTCGAGTTAGAATGGATGAAAATGGCATAATCAGAAAGGAAGAGATTGAACGGTGTATAGGGGAAGTCATGGAGGGAGAGAAAAGTATGGATATTAGAAGTAATTCAGAGAGGTGGAAGAAATTGACCAAAGAGGCAGTTGATGAAGGTGGAAGCTCTGATAGGAACATAGATGAATTCGTAGTAGAACTTATGTTCAAATAGATATTTGGTGTAGTTGTTTTGTTAGTTGGCCAAAAAGAGGTTAATAAAATTACATATTCTTGATGTTAATGGCTGATGCTGACATTTAGCGGCATCTTTAGCATAAGGTCCAATGAAAATAAGCACAAGCTTGGACTACATTTTTTTAATGAATGATAAAGGAGTGGCAAGCGTGAATAACCTTAGCTTTGTCAATCCCGCTATTGATATATTACAAGTTTATCATTTCAATGTTATAGAGTATTTAAGATCTTATTTTCTAACACTTTGTTATTAATTGATTGTTGCAATTTATTAGCAAAAATATGTAATTTATTAATGTTGATTTTTTTTTGCTATCTCTCTTTTTGTATTAAAAAACTTCTTAATTTGATTTTTAATGAGTATTTATAAATTTAAAGAATCTATGGAAAAATTGAAAATGCTTAGAGTGTGACACCAATACTATAGGAAATTAGGCATCAGTACTACTGTTTATTTTACCCAGTGCCAATTGTTCAGAGGCTTAACACCAAGTGTCGGTACTGAAACCTAGAAGTGGACACTAAACCAATGTCGAGTTCTTCTCACACTTTCTTCAATGCTAAAATGGCAGATCTGGTCTTTTAGCTTCCATACAATGATATTTTGATCCCATGTATTTGAATTCATTCATTTAGGTCCTTTAAGCAACCTTTCACCTCACAATTCAGTTCCTCAACTTTCAAAAGATATTCAATTAAGTCTAAAATTTTTTACTATTATGCATTCAAGTCCTTTTCTATATAAAGAATGAAAATTATATAAAATTTATTGAAAATCACATCTATCCATTCAAATAGCAACAAAATCAAGGTTAAAATAATAGATTAAAGCATATAAAATTCTTCTAATCAAGAAGCAACCATATTCAATTCCTTAACTTTACCTATATACCATACATTTCAAACTTAAGAATTTTTACCTTCACTAAAAGGAGATTATGATTAGACTTAGGCCTTTGCCTATGATAAAACCTATCCTTCTTTCTATTTAGTCTAATATTTGAAGTTGGGTTTAGTCCATGGTTAAATGGTTAAATTGGCAACAATATTGAACCTAATAATTACCCTGCAGATGTAGTGGTGGAGCTAGAATTTGAGGGAGGGGGACCAAATTTGTAGACACTTAAATTAAATTTGTATTTAAAATATTATTTTTTATTTGTTTTAGTTGTATTAATTTGAGTTTTATGTAAAATTTAATTTGGTAATTTTAAATAATAAATAGATGACAATTGAAAATTTTTTCCATTCTAAACATAAAGCGTTCACTTAAACAAGAACAAATTTTGTTATGTAAAATCATTAAATTAATTAACATAAAGTTAACAAAGAATAATAACTAAAAGGACCAAATGAAGTAAAATAGAGTTGTAAGGTTGTAAATTTGTGCCTACAATCAAACTTGTCATGTTCAATGTGAATTATATTGTCTATTGAAAGTTTTGGTGATTAGCAAATAATTAAAAAGTTGTATTTGTGAGAAAAAATATATAACAAAACACATCTAAAGAAAGTGTAATAAATTTAGAAATACATCGAAAATTTATACAGCAAATGCCAAAATAAAATAAACAAATTTGATTAAATAAAAAATTATGATTTACAGGTGAAGTTTTATTATTTAATTAAAAAAATAGATATTAATAATTAAAATAAATATTTAAAATTAATTTTAGGCATTGCAAAATTGATGATCTAAGATTTTTTTAGAAAAAGCAAAAAAAATATTAAAAGTGTAAA